GCTGTTTCCAAGTCCCTGCCCTTAACTGGCCAAGGTCATTGCTTTACTTCTGACCTCTTGGCCACTTCTCAGGCCAGAGTCAATGTTCCTGCTAAGAAGTTGCAAATACACAATAGTGTGCATTCATCACCATGTTCAAATCAGCAACTGACAGGAAGGAATGTAGAATTCTGCTCTCTGGATTGCATCCTTTACATTACAAATCAAAAGTATCTTCGACTCAGCCTGTTGGAAGCCTAATGACAGATGACATCAAGAGAACCAGACCAAAGTGTCTAATCTCAGCAGGCCAGGCCTCCCCAGGGGCTTGGAGGGCCACACAGAGAAACTCATCTTTCCCTGGCCCATCTTTCTTTTTTTTTGTTTTTGAGTTGGAGTCTCACTCGGTCGCCCAGACTGGAGTGCAGTGGCCGCTCCCGGCCACCACAGCCTCGACCTGCTGGGCTCCGGCGATCCTTCCGCCTCAGCCTTCTGAGTAGCCGGAATTACAGGCACGCGCTCCCACGCCCGGCTGATTTTTTGATTTATTGTAGAGATGAGGTCTCGCTGCCCAGGCGGGTCTCGAACCCGCGGACTCAGGCAATCCGCTCACCTCAGCCTCCCAAAGGTGCGGGATGACAGGCTGAATCTTTCCTTTCCTTCTTGCTGTCATGGCAAACGGCCCAAACTGAAATGAGCCCACTTGCAATGGTGGTCAATCTCAGGGATGTTGATGTCATGGAAGTGACATTTTAAAAAACCCCAGGCCAGGCCCAGTGGCTTAGTCTGTAATCCCAGCACTTTGGGATGCCGAGGCGAGTGGATTGCCTGAGCCCATGGGTTTGGGACCAGCCTGGGGAACTTGGCGAGACCTTGTCTCTACAATAAATTTTTAAAAAACCAGCTGGGCGTGGTAGCACGTGCCTACACTTCCGGCTACTTGGAAGGCTGAGGCGGAGGGATCTCCGGAGCCCAGCAGGTCGACACTGGGGTGGCTGTGAGTGTGCCACTGCACTCTAGGCTGGGCGACGGAGTGAGACTCTGACTCAAAAACAAAACAAAACAATAACAAAACAACAACAAAAACACCCAGAAACAAAAAACTGTTAAGACAGAAACACAAATCAGTCAAGATGACCCCCCCAGGCAGCTGTGGCTTGAGCCAAATTTTGGAGGCTCCCTCTGTTCCAGGCAGTGACTCTGGAGTCACTGCAGGGGATCTCAGGGGCCAGGGTGAGCCCTGTGGTAGGAGCAGTTATTTACAGGGAGAAGGAGAAGCATCTCAACATGTAGCAACCCATGGGAACCTCTGCTGGGGTGAATGTCTCTGGTTATCAAAAGTGATGTGAAAAATATCATCGAGCCGTTTCTGCATGTGTACCTCCATTTGAAAGCACATGTGAAAGTGTCCCCTTGCAGGAAATAAACAATTCACAGATTGTATTTTGGGCTTAAAGTGGAACAACTTGGAAGGAGGTGGTCTCACTTTTGCAGGAAGAGCACCCTTGGGTCCACCCAGAGAGCCATGTCACATCATGGGAAGCTCATATCAACACTTCAACACCTCTGTGGATGCTGGCACTCAGCAAAGCCCGGGACTCCCTGTCGTCCAGCATTAAACAACAACCTCCCTCTAAGTCATTTCTCTCAAGGTCCCTTCCGCCCCCTCCTGCCTTTCTCTCTCTCTCATGGGGCTACACGTGGTCCCTGCCTGGCACAGGTCCCACCGTCTGGCCTGCCAGAGCAAATGACAAACGCATTTGTCAGAGCATGATTTTAAGAGAAAAACACAGAGAGATCAATTAGAATGAATCATGAATGGTCCTCCTCCCTGTTATAAAAGCCTTAGCATTTTATTACTGAGATCATCATATATATATGTCACAGGTTTTAGGATTGAAAGGTTCTTGAGAGATTCAGTCCAACCTCTTTATCTTACAGCCCATGATAAGCCACATGAGCAGGGCCACTCCATTGCCCACACTGGAGTGCAGTGGCACGCTCCCGGCCACCACAGCCTCGACCTGCTGGGCTCTGGCGATCCTTCTGCCTCAGCCTTCCAAGTAGCCGGAACCACGGGTGCGCGCTACCATGCCCGGCTAATTTTTGAGTTATTGTAGAGACGAGGTCTTGCCAAGTTGCCCAGGTGGGTCTCGAACCCGCGGGCTCAGGCAATTCACTCACCTCGGCCTCCCAAAGTGCTGCAATGACATGCCACATGAGCAGGGCCACCTGGGAAGGCAGGGGGCAGGGGAAGATAAAAACTCCACAGTGAGACATCATCTCTCTTGGCTCTAAGCCCAGGGCTTCTGCTCACTCCCAGGGATGGCAGGGAGGTCAAGGACAGGATGCGGCCCAAAAGGTTACATGTGGCAGAAATCAGCCGTCCTTGCACAGCCAGGAGCCAGCACTCAGATTCTGGACATACAAGCACTGCAGCAAAGTCACTTTCAGAGACCCAGTATGGTTTTCTTAACATTAAGGGTCTTCAGCAGACTTCAGGGCTGACACCCAGAAGGGACCTGACAGTGCAGGTTCTCCTCGCACTGAGTGGGCACAAGCCGACAGAGCCATTCTGACTCTTTATCCCAGGAGCTTTTGCTGATAACTATTCCTGAGAACCTAAGTGGGCCTCATGTTAAAGCACAGTTCTTGGCCGGGCTCGGTGGCTCAGCATGTCATCGCAGCACTTTGGGAGGCCGAGGTGAGTGAATTGCCTGAGCCCGCGGGTTCGAGACCCAACTGGGCAACTTGGCAAGACCTCCTCTCTACAATAAATCAAAAATTAGCCGGGCGTGGTAGCGCGCACCCGTAGTTCCGGCTACTTGGAAGGCTGAGGCAGAAGGATCGCCGGAGCCCAGCAGGTCGAGGCTGCGGTGGCCGGGAGCGTGCCACTGCACTCCAGTCTGGGCGATGGAGTGAGACTCCAACTCAAAAAACAAAAAAAAGCACAGTTCTTTATTGCTATGTCGTAAGTATTCTCCACAGAGTATCTCACAGCCTTTTCTTTCCAGATCTGCATTTATTTTTCTGGATGGAGATCTATTTGAAAAAGATTCCACCCTTCATGTAAGCAGAAAGGCAAGTATTTGGGAATTCTCTGGATTCTCCCTTAAGATGAGAGGGGGCCTTCCTTCACACACGTCTGCTGACATCGAGGAAGCCAGCAAAGATGAGGAGGCAAAGGTACCTCCGAGAAAATCTGGCTCAGGTTGAAAAGAGGTTGCTATGAACCTGTGCGGCCCTCAAAACCTTGTTCCTGCCTGCTCCCAGGGTGTCCACGCCTTCATCAAAATCCACGTTCAGTTTTTATCACGCTGTTCTGTTCTGTGTCTTTCTAGCCACAATTTCCGGTCACTGCAGGAAGCCAGCAGCTACTCAAGAAGCAAGCAGGCTGGGATGCAGCCAAGTTGTCCCTCCTCGGTGGATCAAGTGAAACCCTAATGCCACGGGGTTAACAGAGTGAAGTTGTCAGACTCCTGCTTCTTTCTAATAAAGAGGGGTGGCCGGGCTCGGTGGCTCAGCCTGTCATCCCAGCACTTTGGGAGGCCGAGGCAAGTGGATTGCCTGAGCCCATGGGTTCGAGGCCCACCCGGGCAACTTGACGAGGCCTCATCTCTACAATAAATCAAAAATCAGCCAGGCGTGGTAGCGCGTGCCTGGAGTTCCAGCTACTTGGAAGGCTGAGGCAGAAGGATCACCTGAGCCCAGCAGGTCAACACTAGGGTGGCCGGGAGCATGCCACTGCCCTCCAGTCTGGGTGACAGAGTGAGACTCCAACTCAAAAAAATAAAATAAAGAAAACAGGGTAGAGAGGAGAGAGGAAGCCCTCTCACAACAAGCCACTGTAGGCATCTTATGCCGATTTGAGAGAAAGCGGCAGAGGCCTGGTGATCTCGAGACAGGAAACGCAGCTGAAGCCTTGCTCAGGACCTGGGCAAATCCACCAGCACCTCCATAGCCTGGGACACCTTGAAACAAAAGAAGCCTGGGGGCCAAGGGCAGTGCCAGAGAGAGCTCGGTCTCAACTAGGAATGAAGCCTGATTCACAGAGTCTGCATTAAAGCTGGCGAGAAGACACCCAAATTATTGTCAGTTACTTATTTCTTCATGGGGCTTGTCAAAAGAATTACAAGCCATATTGGTTCATTTTTTGTTAAGCTGGAGTCTTCCTGGGTCACCCATGCTGGAGTGCAGTGGCATGTTCATGGTCACTGCAGCCTCAACCTGCTGTTGAGCTCAGACGATCCCTCCTCCTCAGTCTTCCAAGTAGCTGGAACTACAGGTGCGCGCTACCACGTCCAGCTTAATTTTTGATTGATTGTAGAGACGAGGTCTCACCAAGATGCCCAGGCTGGTCTCGAACCCCTGAGCTCAGGCAATCCTCTTGCCTTGGCCTCCTAAAGTGCTGGGATGACAGGCTTGAGCCATCGCACCCGGCTGGTTAAAATTTTAAGAGAATTCCTTGTTACTGTTCACGATGAAAGTAGGCAGATAACCTTTTAACTTATTTATTTATGTATAAAATTGCACTAATTTCGCATCATAGACACACATATCCCTCACTGCTTTGACTGAAGGAGCACGTTAGGCTACCACCACCTGGTGGCAGTGTACCTAAATGCAAGATCCAATTTTGAGCAGGTGAAGAAACCCTTTGGAGGTACAGTCTGTGAATCTGAATTCAGTAAGTGACAGCAAATGTCACAGTAGTGGTTGGACGCACTAGAAACAGGGAACTGAAGCTGTGTTAGCAATGCCCTGGGAAGGGGTGTTCCAGGCGATGTTTTCACGTGACACAAGAGGGCACTTCACTGATTTTTCTTTCTGCTTCACCAGTCCAATGTTCCTTACTGTCCTCTGGCCTCTTGTCTCCTAATTACTGAGAACAGTTATTACAAAGAACAGCAGTTCCTGGCCAAGGAACAGAAGCCATTCAGATTTTTAACAAAAACAGGGTCAATGTCATGACTCACCAGGGTTCAAGATACGCACCGGGGCCTGAAATCCCGACTACTTACCAAGGTTGTACCACATGTCTCTGATTTCAAAGCCAATCTGTCTCCTCATATCTCCATACCTAGAAACCACGGAAAGGAAAAAAAAAAGCTGAATCACCCCGCAAAGCATTTGAAAATCAGACTTGAATTATTCTTAAGTGCAATTAAAGTCTCCTATCACTGAGGCAAATAAAGATGGGTGTCCAAGTTTCAACTTCTTTGCCACCGAAAGGCATCAAAGGAAGAAGTGTCTAGCCGGGGGAATCTCACTTTTTCCTTGCCTCAGATTACATAATATCCTCTCCCCTGTGGGAACGCTATAGAGAGTAATGAAAGCATTTTTCCTTCTTCAGTCTCTTGGCTCCTGGGCCCACGGGGGAGTCTGTTTTCCATGCACGTTGTTAGCGTCCAGACACCAAATAACACCCTACTGCACAGAAGCTGCTTCCCCCAGGTGGAAATCCCACCGGGAGTCAGGAAAGGCCTCTTCCAAATTTCTCACCTTCTCCCCATCATTTTAGAGGTATCAAAGGGCTTAACACTGAAAGATGTTTACAAATATTCCACCGTTTTTGTTTATCAGGGAAAATAAATGCTAATTTTCCTCCCGGTGGGTGCGCAGAGGAGGTGTGTGTTTCGCGAGTAAACAGAATCTGATGCTTCAGAAGATGAACCTTTATTAGTTTGGGAGCCATTTAACATTTTTCTTTTATTGCCTAAGGAAAAAGCTGATTATATTAAAAATGATAATCGGCGAAAATATCATATAGTGTTACAGTTTAGCAGCTGTGTCATGGAGGCGGCTCTGTCCATCCTTGTGTCAGAGGACGTGACGTGGAAAGCTCTGATGACAGATGGCAGCGCTGTGACTCTTCAGGCAAAGATCCTGGCCGGTAAATCAACAACTGCCACCTGCTGCCACCTTATTAGAAAAGTCTCTGGTGCCCTAAGCACCTGTCTGTCACTCGTGGCACGAAAGGGCCACAGCCAGTGAGATCGTTTCAATCACGGAAGACCCATCTCACCCGGCAGTTCGGCTGAGGCGTGCGGGAGGCCATGGGCCTGGGCCCACGGTTCAGATGGAGAAACTAAACTTGGGAGTCTCAGCCACCTTCTACCAGGACAATCCAGTCCTCTGAGATCAACATAGTAGCTACAAACCCAGCCCCTAAACCAGGTGAGCACTGATGCAGGTAGACTAGATCCATGGAGGGTGTCTCAGTCAGGGAAGAGCCCCCTCCCCAAGATCTCAGTGAACAGAGGCCAGCGTTTTCACAGTCAGTGAAAATACAGACAGCAAAGCTACTCGACCCAAACAGGTGAATGAGAGGAAAGCACCCTCCCAGGTGTAACTCACACCCCAAATTGCCCAAGGAATCTACGACCTGACGCTGTGAAGTTGTGCGTCCTTTTGAGACTAGCAGTGTCTGCTCCCCAATCCCCCTGTGGCTCGAGCACTAGTAACAAAGGGATCCCAGTGGCCGCTGTGGCCTGGGCTGGGCGAGGATGCAGTTAGCTGAGCAGTGACCTGGCAGGCTGGCGTTTTCCAGGCCATCCCCGGGGACGAGGAGGAACGTGGAAAGGAACACCACGCCCCAACCCAGTGCTGAGTTCTTCTCGGGTTCGTGGGGTTCTTGCTTGGGTGGATGACTCTCCCTCCAGTCAAGCAGGCATTGGGCAAGGCCGGGAACCCAGCATCGGAAGAAGGTGGTCCCTGCAACACAAACTCCCCACCCCATGGCCCCCTGCCACCACATATCCAGACCCAGCATACTGAGGAGACTGGAGTCCCCAAAGGAGGTTGACATGCTCGGTGGGGTTGGCCTATGGCTTACAGACCAACTCTTCTCACACCCAAGCTACCCAGAGTCCCTTCTCCTCCTGGGATAACATCTCTCACACCTAAGAAGGCCCAGTGCAGCCTGGCTCGATGGCTCAGCCTGTCATCCCGCGCCTTTGGGAGGCTGAGGTGAGTGGATGGCCTGAGTCCGCGGGTTCGAGACCCGCCTGGGCAGCGAGACCTCATCTCTACAATAAATCAAAAAATCAGCCGGGCGTGGGAGCGCAGGCCTGTAATTCCAGCTACTCGGAAGGCTGAGGTGGAAGGATCGCCGGAGCCCAGCAGGTCGAGGCTGCGGTGGCCGGGAGCGGCCACTGCACTCCAGTCTGGGCGACAGAGTGAGACTCCAACTCAAAAAAAAAAAAAAAAAGAAGAAGGCTCAATGCTAGGATTTCATCAGTACCGGTGCCTCTCTGGCCCCAGACTCGACTCCTTCTCTCAGGTCCTATAATGATTAGAATGGAAATAATTCCAAAGAAACCCTAAAGTTCAGAAGTCTAAAGCACAGGAGACCCTTGGCAGCAGTAAGTTTAAGACTTGAGGCTCGGGTAGTTCAGAAATGACCGCAGTTAGGGATGTGTCCTTTGTTCCAGAGCTGGCATGGCAAACTGGATCCTGGGAGGCATGCCTGAGGAGGGGTATCCTCCCTACCTCTCCCTTCATAAGGCCTCTCCTTCGGGTTATGGTGGAGGGTGACCGGCCGAGGAATTTCCATTCTCGATTACACTTTATTGTCTTAGAGGTAGAAAATGATGCTCCTTGGCAGTAATTGAGAGCCAGGGGGATTAAGCAAAGATCTGAGGGTTCATCCCTCAGAGAGGGAGAGTCAGGCCTACGGCATAAACGTGCAAAAAATCCTGTTTTGATAGTCAAATAAGACAAAAGCCTCAAGCCTGAAGCACAGGCAACAGGAACGAGTGAGGAGCTAGACGGGGAAAGGCAGATTGGATTTCCCTGGCAGCGAGATTGATCTTCTCTTTGGTTTTAATAAGAAGGCAGCTTTGATGAATCTATACATGCCTCAGAGTAATCTCCGAATAGAGTTACAGCTGTCATCAGACCTCAAGAGGGCTTCCTGAGCCGTGTCCGTGTCCTTCCCACAGAGGAGGAAAAATGCTAATGGTTGAGAGTGTCTGGGCTAATGTTCGTCACCTGGAAACCGAACTCCAGGGCTGGTGGCAGCCTTGGAGATCATAATGAAGTTCCTGTCTCACAATTGATAGTTGAGGAAACTGGACAAGTCCTCAGGGCGAGAAGCACAATGCCTTGGTCATCGTCACAGGGAAGGAGAGCAGAGCGTCTAAGCCTTGGCATTCCCGGATTCACAACTCACACCTCCAGGACCAGCAGGGAGCTTCCACCACAACGTGACACAGCATGGCCTCAACGTCTTTCCGAGCACTTGAATGTCATTTTATTTTTGCAATAAGACCATAAGGTGGGCCAGCAGATATTGCTATCTCCGTGTTTTCAACAAGGAGGCTGAGATTCGCGGCGGGGAACCCACACGTCTGACTCTGCAAAGCCGGCGCAGCCCGGAGCTGGGGTCACCTTGCTCTGCCTGGTGCTTCTTACCTGGGCCCACCCACAGTGTGGGTGAGCAGGAGAATGTATGCTCAGGGGACAGCCTTCCTATTTGCACAGATAGGTAGGAGCCCACCTCCAGGCTATAACTCTGACATAAAATTGTGCGAATTTGGTCTCTGTGGCCTCACCTCAGCACCCAGCGTCTTGTGGTCCAAGAATCAGAAAACTCATGCTCACCAGAGACAGACCAGGCTTGGGGGAAGGCCAACCTGAGCCTGAATCTAAGCAAGCTCGGCAACTTACTCGACCACTCTGACCCTCGTTCTCATCTGTAGTCCTGAGATCATGATGCGTGACGCTCGTCTCCCATGATTTTGTCAAGGATACCTGAGAGGTGATGTCCCTGGCTGTCCTAGCAAGCCCTTGAGCCAGGCTAGATCCTTCCTTTAAAAGCTTAAACTGGGCTTCATCACCATATTATCCCCCTCGTGGTGGCGATGGCCACTGAGATCGATTCATTTCGTGAACATCCGCTGAACACTTAGGCTGGACACAGAGCTAAGATGGGCATACGAATATTAATACAGGGATATTAATATTTATAGAATATGGAGAACAGACAAGACCCACAGACCACAGGGAGCTACGAGCATGGGAGGGGAGATGAACACACTCAAATAATCACAAAAGATACACATACATAGATACATAGGGAAAGGTAAGATAGGGGATAGATAATAGACGATAGATGGATAGATGGATAATAGATCGATGGATAGAGTTGGTTATTTTTTCTTTGTTGAAGACTGTGATCGTGGCTTTTTAGAAAAACCATTGAATGAGTGAGAGAACTTAACAGCAGGCTCAGGTCGACTCTGAGTTTTCTAGGAGAGAGTAATATTTGTCCTAAGAGTTGAGGAAGGAGAGGTGTCATCCCAAGGGGGGAAAGAAAAGCAAGCACTCTAGGCAAAGGGACCAGCATGTGCCAAGGCCCTGTGGCAGGGAGGGATGAGGTGAGTATATGAAAGCCGACTGTGTGGTTGGAGAACAGAAAACTGGCTTCTCTTTTAAGAGTCAGGGAGGGGATATGTTGTGAGCAGAGGTTGCAGAAGCGGGTTTATTTAAAGGCTTTTTTTTTTTTTTAATGTTTCAGAAATTTTTCTGATGTAAGAATACATTTACTTTATTAACCAGCATACATATGAAAATATGTCTATAAATATCTTATGAAATAACACTTAACCTTGCTGCCTACAATGAACTCTGATATTTTCTTTTATATTCTATTTCACTGAAAAAAGAAGATGCAAATTAAAACTACGCTGAGATGCCGCCTAACTCCAGTCGGAATGGCCATCATCAATAACTCAAAAAATAACAGATGCTGGAGAGGATGTGGGGGAAAGGGAACACTTCTACACTGTTGGTGGGAGTGTAGACTAGTACAGCCTCTGTGGAAAACTGTGGCGACTCCTAAAAGTTCTAAAAATCGACCTTCCATGTGATCCTGCAATCCCCCTACTGGGAATATACCCAGAAGAACTCAGGTCACTGTATAAAAAAGAGACCTGCACACGTATGTTTATTGCAGCATTGCTCACAATAACAAGAACATGGAACCAGCCGTGCTGTCCCTCAAAAGAGGACTGGATTAAAAAAATGTGGTACGTATACACAATGGAATATTACGCAGCCATAAAGAAGAACAAAGTC